TGGACCTGTATTACTCCATTCCACAGGATGCTCTCCTGGCTTCAGTCAAATCAACTATTGAACAATCAGGAGAAATCAAGTTTCAGAATTCGAGTGGTACTTCAACGGAAAGCTTCATGGAGCTACTAGACTTTTATCTGAAAGCCTTGTTTGTAAAATGGCAAGATTCTTCATACCTACAGCGGTCTGGAGTGTGCATTGGGTCATGTGTTGCTCCCATCTTAAGCGACATCTTTCTGGGAGGCGTAGACATGATCCTCGCACCGCTTTTGAGCACTATGTCTATTATAAAAGTCTTCAGGTACGTTGATGACTTTCTTATTATCCTCCAAGAAGAACAAACAGAAGACTTAATAGATACAATCCTGAGTGTTTTCTCTAGAAGCGGTAAAGGTCTGAGTTTTACGTATGAACAACCTATTCTAAATGTGCTGCAGTTCCTGGACCTATCTATAAAAATCTCAGATCACCACATTTGTTGGTCCTACCAACCACGCTCCAAAAAAGAAATTCTTAATTACCAATCTGCCCATTCAAAATTAATAAAAAGAGGGATAGCCAGTTCGTGCATGTATTCAGCTTTGAAAAAATCCTGTCACCACACCATCGAACAGAGTTTCAGCACTCAAGTAAACAAACTCTCAAGATCCGGCTTTCCATCAGCCATGTTAAGTGAAGTTGCGGGCACTCTGATACAAACCTGTAAAGGATCGACCAAAAGAAAAAAGAGCAAAGACCTTACCAATATCTGTCCACTAGTTATACCATACATCCACAAGACGTCGCACAACTTAAAAAATGTTGCCAATAGATACAACGTGCCCATGGTGTTTTCAGCCCCAAACAAACTGGGTAGAATTTGCACGCTTGTGGACAAGAACAATGACAGGAGGGCTTGCTGCATGAAAAACCACAAGGTGCACTTTGTGTCTTGCATTCTACAAGTGGTTTACCATCTTCCTCTGTCCTGCGGGAAAACCTATGTCGGACAGACTGGGCGTTGCCTCAACGACCGCTTGAGGGAACATAAACAGTCTCTCTAGCCATCCACTGCAGAACCTGTGGATGTGATCCAGATTTTTGTGCAACAACTGTTCTAGCTTCCCATAAAGAGAAAACAACAAGAGAAATAGTGGAAGCCTTTTGGATAAGAAAGCTCGAATCCAAATGTGTGAGCCAGCCATCATTAACACTACAAGACAGCGAGTATGAGTTTATGGGGGCAGCTGCGCACAAATAGGTGTATGGTCAAGGCTTCGGAGTGCCGGCACTGGACATGCCTAGCACTTTGAGAGATTGATTTTCATTTTATTTTGTTTTCCTTTTTCAGCTATAATTATTTTAGGTGTAATTTTATTTAATTTATTAGCGTTTTCACATCTTTCTCTTTTCCGATATATGTTCATGTGTGTAGTTTTCTTCCTTCTCCTTTTCATAGTAAATCGTCAGTTGCGAGTCAGCGCTTGCCTGTTCTGTCCTCCTTTTCTGTCCCTCTCCTTGTGCGCTGTTTAATTATGTATGGCAAAGGAAGTACGCGTTTTAATCGGTTCATTTTACCTCTCTCACTAGACACCGCCGGATGAATTTTGTAGTTGTCTTGTTGGTATAGATAATACAGCGAATGACTTACATGGATGCGAGGTCTTAATCTTAGGGGATTTTAATAATCCAGAAATCAACTGGCCGCAGTTTGATGTTTTTTTTACGAACAGCATTTACTGCAGGTAGAAAGTCACCCAGCGCTTCAACGTTTCCTCTTTCTTAAATCTCACACAGTACAATGGTGTTCTGAATCACGAATTTAATTATCTAGATTTATGTTCTCTCAAATATGGACAGTGTACGTGTAGCAAGGGGAGAACTCCCATTAGTTCCTCAGGATACATATCATCCTGCACTTCATATAGTGCTTTCTTTTGAAAATCCCTATATTCGTGCTAATTATATAGTTGTTCCCCGCCGCACAACTCATATACTCTTTCGGCAGGGGACTATGACAGGATGTACCATCACTTCATAAGCTTTGGTTGGGCATCGATCTTGGAATCTCCTGATGTAAAAAAGCAGGTCATGCCCTTCTTGCGAATTATTCGGGATGCCATGGATACCTTTATTCCCTTGACGACAGTTACTAAATCTCGCTTTCCTAGCTGGTTTTTCAGCGAGCTAAACACGCTTCTGAAAAGAAAGAACTTCTTTCACAGGAAGTTTAAAAAAATGGCGTCCCAAAGTGGAAGGTAAAATTCCAGAGTTGCTAAAAGCAATGTAAAACAATCCTAAACCACGACCGCCGGGCGCATCGTTACTCAGTAGAATTAGATCTCGTCAATAATAATAATAAAAAAAAGTTCTGGAAGTACATTAAATCACGTTCTGGGAGGCATATCGAGTCGAAAATTTTCTTGGATAATCATGAAAGCGATTCAAAGTCTGTGCTTGAGTTACTTGCTAATCATTTTAGGTCAGTCTACAAAATATGGGTGTGTGTATGTTTAAACTGCCTAGAACTTAGCCTGCCTTAACGGGCGACTTGTCTCCCAGCTGTAGATGAGAAATTTAGCCAGTACAGTACGACCGTTAGCCTGGGGTCTTTAACGTGCACCACGCAGTAGCGATACACGACCGCACGCAGGTGCGATGCTAATCCAGATCGAAACGGGCAGGGGTGGGGATTGAACCCAGGATCCCTGGATTCTGCAGCGCGAGCTTTCGCTCCACGTGCTCCGGGCTGGTGTGCGCTAGCCCACTCGGCCACCGACTCCCCTAAGTCAGTCTAGAGGGATAGTACGCAGTGTTTCGCGTCTGCGCTGCCTCACTAGATGGGTTTGGAGACTTGTTATGTTGCATTAACGTCGATGAGGAATGCGTACAGTCCTGTATTTAAGAAAATGAGAGCAAGATTATCAGTAGAGTCCGACGGCATTCCCTCCGCGATCATCAAAACTTATCACGACATATTCACGCTGATACTGTGCTCAGTATTTTACAACTCTTGAAGGTTGGGAACCTCTACTGAAATGTGGAAAGTCACTGCTGTTCTTCCGGTCCTATAGTCGGAGAAAAAAGGGGATGTTTATAACTATAGACCGATTTCGCTTCTTTCTCCATTATCCAAGCTTTTTGAAATGGTCGTTCATCAATTCCTGTTTTTGAAATTTTGAAACTTATCAATTCCCTATCAGCATGGCTTTATGAGTGGCAGATCAACTAAAACAAACCTTGTTAGTTTTACGTCTACCACATCTCGTGTGATATGTAATAGAGGTCGACCTCTATTACATATCACACGAGATGTGGTAGACATAGAACTAACAAGTATTGTATTCGTTGATCTGCCAAAATAGACAACGCCTAACTGACCGGTCAGTTAGACGTTGTATATTTTCACTTAAGCAAGTCCTTTGATGTAGTCAATCACACGATTATATTATTCAAATTTTCCTCCTACGAAGTATGTGGCTAAGTACACGGCTGGTTGAAAAGCTACTTGTCAGCATACCTCGGCAAACCTCACTCATGAGGGCCCTCACTTACCTTCACTCACCCTCATCTTCAGAGGTGGGGTGAGGGTCAGTGAGTTTCCGAACCAGGAAGCTTTGTGAGTTTGAGGGTGAGTGAGGGCCGTGAGAGCTGTGAGGACCGTGAGAGCTGTGAGGACCGTGAGTGCGTGAGGGGTATAAGTGCGAGAGGGCGGTGTGTGCGTGAGGGGCGTAAGGGCCTTGAGTGCGTGAGAGGCGTGAGGGCGGTGAGTGTGTAAGGGTGTGAGGGTCATGAGTGCGTGGGGGACGTGAGGGCCATGAGTGGGTGAGGTTCAGGGAGGGTGAGTGAAGAGCTGAAGGTGAGCGTAGTTGTGAGGGCGAGGGTGAGTGAGGGGCTTAGGTGAGTGTTGCTGTGAGGGTGAGGGTGAGTGAGGGCGACCTAAAATGCCGACCTCTGCTTGTTAGAGAAAGAGCCGTAGGTCCGGGACCCGGCCTTCCCCTAGGAAATAGAAAATTTTCCCCCTATATATATGGGGATAACGATAGCAGTTCCTATCTGCTCTAATCCACTGGTGCACCATCTAGCATATCATCTGTCCGCGCCAGCTTGAGGACGAAATGTGGCCTATAGGCTATAGGCAACTAATCGGTAAGTCAAAATGAAACTAGACTGCAGGCACCTCTAGCAAAGCAATCGAGAAATCTTTTTCACACCGGGGCGCGCACGCAGTTCTGTAGTGTCTATACAAAAAACACTTTCAAAGACATCTCACGATTGAACTCGAGACGATGCAAATTTCCTGTGAGCCGATAGCTGAACAGTCCTTTTTCAAAACTCAGAGTATCCCCGCTTTCAAAGCCCCATGCCCCACTGGTAGCATCACGGAGATCCGTCAAACTCCGCGCCTGTACACGAGCGGGCCGAACGTTCGTCATCTGTTTATTAAGTTTGGGCGCCTGATATTGGCAATTTCCTTCCTTAATTTTTTTTTTTTTTTTTGCTTCCGCGAAGGCCCGCACACTTCGTTTCACTTTAAGTAGCATATCCAATAGAACCAATCAAGCAGCGACAAAAGTGCATCGTCACAGCGCTCGTCGTGTTTGTAGGTTTGCTGCCACCGGTATACACACTTGAACCCTCTATTGGGTAACCATAGATTATTCAACATTTTGGCATATCATGTTCTATCTATTCTATTTTATCAGCGCGTCGTATTTTTTTTTACTTCTCGGCTTGAAAAACCTTTGAAATGTTATAAATAGCCCTTACTCATAGATATCACTTAAGTTTGATCTCGTACATACCGCGGAACCTCTGCTCTAGCGAAATGCAGTTCTAGGGTAACCTCATAGATGGCACCAGCGTGCCAGTGTGTTGTCTCGTCGTAAGAGATCAGAAGAGCTCGGTCGGAAGGAAACGTAGGTGCGCGAGCGAGCCATTGGTGCGAAAGGAAGCCTAGATGGCTTTGACTTTCTGAAACGGTCTATTTGACCGAGCCGATCTAGACAAGAACTCCCAACCTGGGGAACGTCTTTTTCGTCGTGGATTCGATGGTCTGCATGGTGGCACGCGTCCTGGGCGCGTCGGGCCTCAGCCTGACCAGAAGCACGAAGCCCCGACACAGCCTGGCCCGTAGGAGCTTGATGTTGCCGATGCACTGGAACTGGCCGTTGAACATGACGGCCATCTTTTCGGACATGATGACGCAGTCGCCTACGCTGTGCGTGGCCACCACCACTGCGGACTTGACCAGCTGCCTGATGAGGAGGATGGTCCTGTAGATCTTCCTCTTGGCCATCATGTCCAGACCTGTCGCTGGATCGTCCAGCAGTACCACGGGCGGCAGGCCGATGATGGCAATGCCCACCGCCAGCTTGCGTCGAGTGACGGTACTGTGCGAAATGCGTGGATACGATGCAATACATTGTGTTACGCGTCGAGTGACGGTACTGTGCGAAATGCGTGGATACTATGCAATACATTGTGTTACATTATAATTTGTAATAAAACACATTATAACCCCAAGGTACCGGGGGTTCTTTGAGAAAACATCCAAACATCCCTAAAATATAGTGTTGCAAAAATAACACGTCAAAGATTACAAAAACATACTAAATATCTAACTAACTGCATTAAATTTACTAGATAACTTTTTCTTTATGAAAATGAACATATGGTTTCAATTATAAACTTCCTGAGTGTGCTGTTGAGCTTAGATAGAAGACGGCAAAAAAAGAAGGACACAGAATACAGATAGCGTTAAGGCAGGAAGCTACCAGAGATGCTTTGAGTCATTAACGACTTTCAAAAGTACAAGGACCCAGAATTGACCCGGAACGGTGATCAGTGGCAGCCACACCCTCCTTCCATAGCCAACCGCTTGCGGAATTTGATTTCTAGATCCCCGATGAAGGGCTCATTGGAAGCGCCGGTTCGAAAGCTTTCGGCTGATCGGTGGCCTTGTCACAAAACCTAACCTGGGGCAGGTCAACGCTATAATCTACTTTATGGGCGACAAAGCGGACGACATCCTACTCTTGCTGAACCCATCTTCAGCCAGGGCGGCGAAGTACGCAGAAGTAGTTTCGGCCTACGAGAGCCATTTCGTCGTCCGTCGAAACGTAATCTTCGAAAGAGCGAAGTTCCACAAAATAAGTCAGCGAGAAGGCGAAGGCGTGGAAGAATTTATTCCAAAACTTCTCATGACCTCGCCCAGACTTGCGAGTTCGGGGTTCTGCAGGAGGAGATGTTTCGAGACCGAATCGTCGTCGGAGTCCTCAGTCATCTGCTGTCGGAGAAAATGCAATTGGATCCAGGACTGACACTCGAGAAGGCTACTAGCCAGGCTCAACAGTCCGAAGCTGTCAAGAAACGGAGAGTTGTTCTTCACAATTCCTCGAAAGAAAACGTTGACAGTGTCTTAAAAAAAGGAGGCAAGTCAACGGCATAGGGAAGGCAAAAAATGAAGAAGCGACTCCATCTCGGTCTGGTTTGCCAACTCATGAAGAAACCTGCCCGAAGTGTGGCTACGGACAACATCAAAAAGACAAGCGCCCCGCACGAAAAGCAACCTGCAAAAAATGCACAAACCTCGGGCGCTGTTCACGGGTTTGAAGAAGTTATGGCGGTTAAATCCGTTGCTGTACCGAGAGGGGGAGGGCATTTTTTTCTCTTTTTACCCTCTCTGCTATGACCCTAATAGAGAGGCCCACCAGTCACTATGTCCGGTAGGAGTACAGTAGCAGGGGGTCGTGGATGGTACGGCACGCCAATGAGCCACGGCGTCGTGACCCATCAGTGTGCAACACCAATAGTGGCCCCCAACCGAACGTTTACTAGAGCACTCACGGTAAGCAGTAACTGGCACGCTTCTCGCCTCATTGGCGTCAATACACAATAAAGATGTCACCTGTATAGGGAGCGAATTTTTGTATTTTGTTATTGTCTCTGTTATGTTAAGCTGGAGTCAACGTTTTAAATCTCAGTTTGTATTTCTTACGTGACGTAACCTCTTTGACAAGTGCCCGATATTACTGTATTTTTGCTTTTTGTTTCCTTATCTGCTCAGGCGCACTCAACATCTATATATTTTCTTACCTGCACTTATCGATGGTGTCATCTATAACCACTCGCAAGTTGAGGAGGTCGATCAGGTTGTCCAGCAGCACGTCTGCGTTCTTACGCGTGATGCCCCGGATGTTGGCGTATAGCACGAGCGTCTGACGCACCGTGAGCCTCCCGAGCACACTGTCGTGCGACGGACACAACCCGATCCGCTCACGCCACGCCGCGACGGTGGTGAGGTCCACGCCGCCGATGAGGGCAGTTCCCCCAGAAGCAGGGGTCAACCCGGCCAGAACGTCCAGCATGGTGGTCTTGCCGCAGCCCTTAAGTCCCATCACTCCGAAGCAGTCGCCGGGTTCCACGGCAAAGGTCACCCCTCTGACGACCTCCTTGGAGCCCGTGGTCTTCTTGAGATCGATGACCAGGAGCGCGGGCTTGGTCAGATCATGTCCCTCAATGACCTTCTCGACGGCCGCCTTCTCTTCGGCCACGTCTGGACTCATGACCGGAGGCGCTTGAGTAGTGCCTTGAGTAACTCTCTTCAATGCCCACCAGCCTTGCATGGTTCCCTTTTCGAACAGGGCTAGCAGTACGAGTAAAACGGTTCCTTCGATTACCATGACCAGTAGCTCGAATAGCATGGAATCTCTGAAAAAATATGTTGGAGCAGCTTAAATATGACGATGAAGGACAGGCGAGCAATCCGTGCGTTTTATATTTTAGTCAACTTTCTTGTTAAATTATGTTGCCCTCAGGATATGGTAAAAACAACATTTATGAGAGGAGTGCGACTACAAGTTATGACCTCGACTATTAGCCGTCACTCTGCAAATATATGTCCGCGCATAGACGGATTGACGTCACCGGTTTCGCCGTGCACTGAGCAAATTAGCAAGCTTGTACTATCAAACTGGCTTTTGTGAATACTTGCCATAAAGGACTCATTGATGGCATAACTTTCGAAGCCACCAGCCAAAGCTATATCAAACTGTTAACCATTTATTTCTTACTTGCTCCAACTCTACTTCGGGGGACGTAGTGTAAAGAACACGCCCCTTTGGAGATTCGTACTGTGAATTACGCCTAAAAAACGAAAAAAAAAAAAGATAAGTGGCACACAGTACAGGGCGTGTCTTTCAACATAAATTTATAAGAATACGCATATAAAAAATTGTGAAAGCTCTACGTTCACAAAGAGGATGCACATAGATTAAAAATATTTTAGCCTTTCCACTATGGTGAAGAAGGAAGACCAGAGAAGCTGAACTATGGTGGGAACGAAGTAATGGCCGGCCGCTAGTCGGCAAGACAGAGTGGAAAGGCTGGACAGCTACCGCCATTTAGGAGCAACTGGGGCAACCAGACAACCGTCAAGCTGGTTGTCTTGTTGCCGCCGTCGCTCGTAGATGGCGGTAGCTGTTCAGAGTTTCGCGTCATCCTTTGTTTCTGACGGACACGATACTGGGGAAACAATAGCCCTTAAAGGCCCCGCTGTAAAAGCCCGTAGAAGCCGGACGACAGCGATTTATGACAGAGGCTTGGCTGATAACGGCATGTTCCTTATCGCAAAGGGCTATAGAAGGAGCGCTGAAATAGACGGTCGACCCATGTGATTTAATCATGAAAGCTTCATGTATTTCACGTTTCCGTTTTGTTTTAAAGCTCCCCCACAATCTTAGTTTCACGAAAATATGGGTCGCATTCGCATCTCACATAGTGTACAGCCAAGTACTCTATAATTCAGTCATTGATACCAAGCCTCTGCCATTCACCAATGTCGACCGGCTTCTTCGTTTTTTTTGTTTTTTTTTTTATCTAAGTCTATCTTTTACGCCATGCGCCATTTTTACAATTTTTATATGTGTTATTATAAATTTCAGTTGAAAGTTACAATCTGTCCTGTGAGCCACTCATTTTTTGTCCTTGTTTTCTTCGGCGTAAAATAATGTATGAATCATCACCAACTAGGCCAACTCGCAGTCTTAATACCATTTAGGAAGTCTGTGCTCGGGGAAGGTATACAATTTTGAACAATTTAATATAATGCTTTCCAGTTAAGAGCTTTTTAGTACTTGGAAGAGGGAAGCCTTTCCCGAAGTACCAAGTTAACCAGTGTCCTTTCTGAATCGGTGTCCCTTAGCCTCTCACCCTGAACTTCCACGGACAAATTCCTGAAACTAGGAGTCACGGCCGAGGAATTGACCGAAGCCCATCTCACTGCACAATACGAACGGCTGTCCACTACCGCGACTGTCCGACACAACCTCACCTCTTTGCTGATAAGGTTTCCCTCCAGCCCATCTCTCAAACACCCTTTACCTCTTGACATTCGCCAATACCGTCATGTTTCTCTTATCCCCTGCAGCATGCACCCCCATCATCACAAACAGAGAAACCTTAAACGCACCGAAGCCCTCCACAAACGATGCGGCACCCGCGAGAATGTAATCTATCGTCGCCGATGAATACACCCACTGAAATCAATGCCTTTGCTTTCTCGGGAGTTAACAACTTGGGTTCCTCCTTATTTTTTGCCACGATTGCCCCCACACTCCCGGCGGAAGCAGAGGAGGTGGCTATCGCTTTGGCGCTAACCGGCACCTCAGCTAAAACAATTATCAGCTTCACCAAAACTGTTATCCGCAGTTTCATGAAAGGGTGCGTTTTCCCCCACACCCTTCTCCTCCTTCTCACCAAACACCCTTCCTCCCATCCCGTCCCCCTTATGTGGACCCCCGCCAACACCTCCCTTCCCGGCAATGAGGCCGCCCACACTTCCGCCCGAGGATTCGCAGACCGGGCTGTGGGCCCCGTACCCCCTGAAATAGAGTTTCGCACGGCCCGGGACCTGATGTTACTCTCCATAAAGTTACCAATCAATACCAACTGGAGCTACGCATCTAACCCCCCTCCCCCCCCTCCCCCTCACACACACACACACACACACACCCCTCCTCGCCTCGAGCTCAAGACTTCACATGGCGTCAGGTCCCGACCAATTCATACCCTAACCGCTGTCCTTTACTCCTACATACACCCTTGCCTCTTCACCCCCCCCCCCCCCACCTCCCTGCGCTTTAGGCCAGAAAAGGGCAGACCTAGCTCATATTATTTGGAATTGCCCGAAGGACCCTTGGTCCCACGGGCCTGACGTCACTACTTTGGGGATGTAGGAAGCTACGCTTTTCAGCTGGGACCCTGTCCTTCAGGATAGGGTCACTCAACGGGCGGATCGCCGGGGTCTGAGAACTCCTTGCCACCCGGCGGGGTTGATCTCCCTTTCCTGTTCTGATTCCCGCCCCTCCTAGACCAATAAACGTTTTTCCCCCTCCTCTTCCTTCTTTCTGAATCATAACTTATACCAACCTGTTGACTTTTAATTGTTCTCTATTGCATTAATAAACTACAACGCCGGGCGCTCCTGCCTCATGAATATCATCATTAACTCAAATTGATCCGCGTCAGGTGACCACTTTTTGCTACCCTCCCCACCTAGTCTCAAGTTCTCAACTCTCAACAAAAGAGTGTTCACTGTGCCCGAACGTCCTCACCTGTGGAAAGAGAGGGGGCTCAGAGTGAGCACGGCCTTCTGGTCCAGCGCGAAGAAGGTGGCGCAACAGTAGCGTAGGCCGGTAAGCAGTACCGCCCCCGAGTCGGCGCTGTTCTTGAGATGGGCGCAGATGTCGTAGAGCTCTGATGCGCTGCTCTCGGTGCAATAGTCGTTCTCCGCGGCCAGCTGGACCATCTTGGCCAGGGCCCAGTTTCCGCTGAAGGGTGGCAGCGGGTAGAGTAGGATCAGGTACGGGTCCCAAGGCATGTGGTCCTTAAGGAGTTCTGTGCCTTGCTCCGTGTTGATCAGAAATATCTGGTAGGCCATTGCAGTCAGTATCCCTGGGGGAAAAAGGTACAGAACACCACAAATGATCGGAACATATCCGTGCGGAAGTACACTACTTCAAGCAACCAAGCCTTGAGAGCGAAACCAGGACGTTTGGAGACAAGCTCGGTTTTCATGAATCGAAAGGTATGTTTGCACATACAGTTAGTTCCCAGCGCTGACCGTGCGTTATCTCTCAACGCTGAGATGCAGGTGTGAACCGGTAAAAGTCGAGGGGACTCGATAAGTTGTAACGTGCGAGCGCTAGACAGCGCCATACCTGGAGCACCAAGAAGCAGCTAAGGCCCCTGAATCAGAAAGGTATCTACACCTTTATTCAGCGGAAAAACGCACCACACATGCCTTTTCTCAATAAATGTAGAGTATAGATTATCTAGCCAAATTCAGCGCAGAAATGTCTCGCCAAATTTAGCAAGAAAAGTTCCCTATTAGATTGAGCGAGACAATTTCCCTGCTAAACGTCACTGTGACACGTATCATAACTGAACACTGACATCACGTGACCACCGTGGCGTCACGTGATACTGTGACGAGTCCCGTGCCACGACGACCCCACAGGGAACACACATGGAGATTCGCTGCGAACTCTCGTCAAAATGGGTTAAAAAATGCCCTGTATAGCTCGTAACATCGACCAGCGCCGATTTAAAACCAGGTTTTCCACAGACCTGCAAAGGTCCATATGGCGTTCACCACAACGAAGCCCGAAGTCATTGAATCCGCAACAAACGAAAAGAAGTACACGAAGGGCAGGCTGCAGTGGACGTAGACGATGTACAGCCCCAGCACGATCGGCGCTGCAGAAAGGAACATTGCGATCATCAATCAGAACCAATGGAACACAATGGTCATCTCAACTAGACTTTGTTTCACCTTAAGTCCAGGCGCAGCCGAAGCCGCGAGCTGATGGGACCATGTCAAGAGAGCACAATCATGGTGTTCAGTGTGATCTTCTACGTGCTCTATCATCACTAAACCAATTATAAACGAAAAGGCCTAGCGACTTGTGCTTTTGAGTCTGCTTGATTGGTCCCATAACCGTGTAGCGTTCACTCTCAGAAATAGGGGGTGCCGTACTCACACGCCTCTTCCTATATGTAACACCCCAAAAACTACAATTCGACGTTCAGTCCACTGACGTCAAACTGACGATACGAACTTTCACGAGCGGCTTGATAGTCGAGTGATACAACGTATTAAAATAGCTAATGTGCACATTGAAGACTGCAAGAAAACGTTAAAGGGCAACTCCGCTTCTTTTCCAGTAGTGCAAAACTATACAGTTCTCTTTGTTATCGTCTACAAAACCCCCATGGCAAATATTACGACGGAATTCCGCCTAGAAGTTCATTAAAATCGCTGTCAAAGTTTGACAAGCACGAATCCGCTGGTTTTGGATGAGACGTGCGGGCCAGACAACACTGCCCGGCTGCATTTCCGCTTCCTCCAAATTCCTTCCCCCGGCACGTCCGCGACGTCATCAAGCATGTACAGCTTCTTTTTTTTTTTTTTCAATTTTGTTTTCTTTCCCGGGGAGAGCACGGGTGGCGCCAGCGCCGTGAAAGACGTGAGTGACGCGCTCGGCCGGCCCGGCGCTCGACTATTGATGCTACTGATGAGCCGATCGCCTCGTTGAGCGCGGCTTGCGTTACATCGCATACTTTTGAACACCAAGTAAAAGGAGGAGAGGGAAGCTGCTTTTGTAAGAATTTTGAGTGGCAGGTTAATCTTCTATAATCTTCTGGGAGGAGAATAGCGACGCTTGTGCTAATCCAGGAGGCACAAAGGAGGATCCTGATAAGAGGGGAGCTCCTTCTTCCCCTTGTATATCACGTGGGTGTACATGCTTAGTGATGCCGAATATACAATGTTGTCCGGCTTTGCCACCGTTTCGGTTTCGGTTTGCGATCATGGCTAGAGTAAAATTACACGAAAAATATTTTATTTTTCGCGAAACAAAGGATTGGGGATTTTTTTTGAGTGCTTCAAAAAGCAAAATCGGCCACTATCTCAAAATTTTTGAAATTAAGCGGAGTTGCCCTTTAAGTTTTGCTGGCCCTAATAAAAAAAACCTGTGTTTTTCTGTTTCTTTTTTTTTTTTTTTTAGTCTTTGACACGTACATTTGCTCTTTAGTAAGTTATACCACACAGCTATATAGCCGCTGCTAAAAGTCATCGTCAATTCGACGTCACTAGACTCAGCTTTAAAATGTGGTTTTGGGGAGTTATATATGGGACAAGGGGTGTCAGTACAACACCCTCTATTTCTGAGACTTCGCTGTGCGCGTAAAACTGTACTGAATATTTAAGCAACCCCGTTCGCAACCCTTCGTAATTGCTGTTCAACCGGCAGTGTGAATGAAGCTATAGTCTTCCCTGCTGTCTGTCTGCGCGATCATAAAGAACGAAAGCTCTGTGGAACCAAATTGTGGACCACCGGCCTAATTAGAGCCGATGAAGTAGCGGCTACAGACACGCACTACAAGTGATCTCTATCACGTAATTTGGCTTTGATTTGTGCAAATTATTTTACTACGTCAGACTCCCGAGTGCTAAATTTGAACTGGTTAGAATAAAGCTTTTGTTTAAAGGGCAGCTCCGCCGTCAATTTGAGCGTTTTTATCAAAACATATTTTCGGAAAGGGTACTAAAAATTTAGCCTATAGCAGCGGTTAAATCATGAAAAAACTGTTTACATAATTTATAATCCTTAAAATACGCTGAAACTGATACCGAAACTAACTTGCCACTCGACTGGTCCGCCATTTTGACGTGACGTCACATATGGTATAAACACTCGCACGTGTGCAGTTTGAGCCTGGCCGGCCTGGCAGCAGGTCACTGTTTTGTGTTCGTGCCGCGGATAAAAATGGACTCATCAGGCTCGTCTGAATCGAGCAACGATGAGGATATGCTGCTAGATGTTGAGGACGATGACGATAACCCGTTCTCATACGATCCGCCGGCATCGCCTCCGAGAAAACCGCCAGCGGCGGCTGCATTCGTGATCCGCCGCCATGTGGACCCAGATGCCGCTTCCGAAGCGGAATGGTAAGGCAGCTTTTGTTGCTAGCACGCCAAGAAAAACTGATCGACGTTACGCCTTTTAATTGCAGGCACTTTTTGTTATATCTTGGGGTCTGACAATAGACGGTTTTAGTAGACCGTGTTTTCAAGCGACGCTTCCACACACAACACCAATTTCCTCCAGTCGCCATTACGCGCTCTTACATAACTGTATAAACCGATAACATAAGCAAAAAGCAGACAGTCGCTAGCACCAACTAGCTACAAAGTAAGCACCCTGACCAACATGTGACGTCACGGCAACGTCAGCGCCACCATGGCAGCCTCCGTGTGCCGCTCTTGCTCAGTGTTGCCAGTAGGGCTGCAGCAAGTGATTTGGGTGTGTACATGTAAATTTCAAAATTCATTTTCTTCAAAAAAAAATTATTATTTTTCCGAGATATTTTGTACACATGATCAGGAAGGGCATCCAAATACATGGTGAAAATTTTATAGAAATCAGTGACCATCAAAATTACGGCGGAGATGCCCTTTAAGCGTCAACGTGTTCAACAAAAAAAAAAAAAAGAAAGAAGACAAGCGTTACTGAATACAGTATTTGATTGTGGGAGAAAAACGAGATCGACTATGAGACGGAGAATCTATTCGTGGCGTGCTCACCAACAAGGCTACTAGCTGCTTCAGAGTTAAACAAATCTGTTTTAGTCTCTAACCCTTTATAAACCAGCGGCTATATCTCGTTTAACCTTACGGCGTGCCGCAACGAACCTTACGAACCCCATTAGCCGATCCAGCGCCCCACGCGTGCCACGTGACTTCAGGCTCCGTTCATCGGGCCGTCCAAACGAAAGGTCATGGGACAACCACCAAGCTATGAGTTCGCTCCGGTGGCTGGTAGCGTCCGTTGCGGTACATCGAAAGGTAAAACAAGTATAAGCCGCGAGATCAGTAGTTCCCACATAATTGCTGGAAAGACATGCTGCAAAAAGGACAAGGCATACGGGACTTGGAGCAGTTAACTGTAGTTTGGGTTAGAATGCCATGAACGATTAAAGTGAAGACACAGCAACCTGCAGCCCAGGATCTTCTGTGCTAGAGAAACGAATGATGCAGTGTATGAGCAAGGTAAAAGGATGCTGGCCATATATATTCGTTTGCTTGATGCTCCCATTCTTCAAATCCTGTCGAGATTTACCATAATAACGTACTCTAAACATGGTTCAATCCCAGCCCCTGCCCGTTTCAATCTGGGTGAGCATCGTACCAGCATGCGTTGGTATATCACTACTGCGTGGTGCACCTTAAAAACCCTAGGCTAGCAGTTGTTTACTGCACTGGCTAAATTGCTCATCTACGGTTGAGACACCAGACAAACATCGTGCACTCTAAGAAAAAAGGGTGTAGTGGGTACACCCACAGGGGGTGTAAGTGCTGCCACATATACTACACCCATAAAGGTGTACATGTACACCTCAAAACGAGGTGCATATGTACACCCTCTTTAGGCGTGCATATGTGCACCCTTTTATACACCTTCAGCATTCAGGGGTTTAAAGATACACCCCATGCTGAGGTGTGTCATTACTCCTTTCCTACACCCTCACTGTCGTTTCGGTGTGAAGGTACACCCCAATTTAAGGTGTACAAGTATTCCTTTCTTTACACCCACCAACAGGGTTTGCTATTACACCGTTGTTTACACCCACCCCGCTCATAGGGAACAGAGATACACCCGCCAACAGGGTTTACTATTACACCGTTTTTACACCCACCCTGCTCATATGGAACATATATACACCGCATTCAATGAAGTACCATTACACCTCTTCGTGCACCCACCTCAAGGAAACCTGTAAAAAATGTACGCGCCCAGGTGGTTGCAAAAATGCAGGTAAACAGACACAACGGATTGTTTTCAAATCTCCTATAAGTTTATTAGACAGCCAATTCCGTAAACAAGTACAAACGTGCAAGCAATCTGTGATATGTGAAGATGTACAACGAAGCTTTTACACAACTGAGGAGATTACTGAGCTAACAAGGACCGGGGTGATTCCTAGGTAGTGTCTATTGTCTCAGCAGCCGGCAGAATTATTTACCCGAAATCGTGCCGGCAGTCGTCGCTCATTGGCGATATGATCACTTCTTCGAACGACATGTCATCGACAGCTCAGGTTAGCTTTCCTCTATAAACATCTTTTTTTTTTCTTTTTTTTTTGTAATGAGCCGCCCCAGGCTATATGCGCGAGGTGATATGTACGGGTATCACAGGTAGGGTGAACATTTCTTTAATGAGCCACCGCATACTGTCACCACGAAGCGACGTGAACGGGTGGGCTGGGTCGGTGAGCACGCGTCAGAGACACACGCACGACGAAATGTCCCTACAGCGTGTATTTCGCGTAACGAGTTACGGTGAAACGTTAGTGTCGACGAAATGTGTCTAGAAAACGTGTATCAACGAAAAGCTGTCCATGAAACGCGTGTTCACAAAACGCCGGAAGAATAAGGAAGTCACCTGCAGTTATCACATGATTGTAGACAGCTAATGGCAGGCGACTGCCGATAGAATTTCGGGGAAATTATTCTCCCGGCTGCTAGGAAATAGACACTGCCTAATTTTAGACGTAATCAAGAACGGAACGGTCAATTGCTGCAAAGGAGTAGGTTGCAGCGCACTTACGATGAAAATATCGGACTTGAAATATGTAATCCGAGATAGATGTTGACACGGGCACTGCAGAACCACACAAACACAAACACGGAAAGAAAGGGGCCTGTGAAGATTCAACACGATGTGGCAGAAGAAGTAATTTGCCAAACCGAACACTAAACGCATCACATGAATTCCTTGGGCATTCTCGAAGAAATCGCGTGTTGCCGATGTACGTTGAACCTTTTAAACACTGGAAGCCTTGGTACACTCGAATACGTTGTCACGGACGAAATCTCTGGCAGCCCCGCTGGTCGCAGCACAGCACACAAGAAACTAGGCCGGGAATCAAGCATTCCCGGATCGGAAAGAGCTAATATAGTACTACGTCACCCGTGAAACCTTTGCCACATGATCACGCTCCTGCCATTACCCGCGCCCAGACAGCGGACTCAAAGTCAAAGCATAAAAAAAGCCTCCGGTTCATCGGTCCGACTAGAGAGCCTTCAAGCGCACATGAAGGCACTCTAGGTCCGACGACTGCGTAGCCTGTTCCACGCTTTCAGCTTAGGGAGAGAAAGAAAAGAGAGGAGTATACGAAAATAGCAGCTCCTTCAAGGCCAAAAGTGGTCGCCCTCGCGAAGGCTTATCTTCAGGGTTATCCCAACAATGAACGCAGCTCGAGGATTTGTCCCCTATATCCTCTTGAAAGTTCGACCCAAAGTTAATAGTGCAGTGGATGCTACCCGTGGCCTTGGCCTTCAGGCAGGTGCCGTGCTCTGCCTTATCTCTAGCTTGGAGACTGTAGTCACGTGATCCTACCCGGAGACCCGATTGGCCTAAAACAAGCATAGCGTCTACTCTACTGTCAATACCGAGTGAACAAAACAGTTCCATACTTCCTAAGAAACTGACCAACCCAAAAGTGACCCCCAAGAGGGCATCCAAGCACACGCTGGTCGGGGCGCGTGGCAAGCGTGGCGGTGCACTGATACACCCAGAGGTTTTTAAGGGAGAGGAGGATGCTCATTGTCGGTGCACAAATACACTGGCTGGGCAACTGAGGGTGCATCTTTCAGGAAAGGGGTGCATGTGATGCTGATACACCCGACTACACCCGTTTTTTCTTAGAGTGCGGCTGACTAACTTCCGGCTGTATAAACATACACACAACACAATTACAATTTAACATGATATGCTGGTACATGATATGATGGTCAAAGACGGCTAGAAGGCTTCCTTCAGAGCCAAAGAAATGGGTTCACCAACGCTCCCCTTCCTACCAATGATCGACACAGCTTTTTGAGTGATGCCACTCGTTCGTTTCTAAAGTCTCCAAAATATTGCAATGGCAATGCTGACAAATGTCAAACTATACTTCGTTTAGTAGACGCTACCAGATGAAGGAACTAATCAGACAGCGACAAAAGCGCACCATCACGGTGCTTGTAATGTTTCTCTGTATGTTCTATCATCGCTGAACCAATCACAAACATAAAATCCCAGTTATTTGCGCTTTTAACGCTGCTTGATTGGTCCCATTAAGTTTTAGCGTCGGCTGCGCCTGGACTTGAGGTGAAACGAAGCATAACATATCGTTCCTTACTTCAGTTCATTCAAACATTTCTGCCATAACCCCCTTGAACCAGACTGAGTCAACGATACCCCTATGCTTGTTGGTAATTCAGCTATCATGGGAAATATGTGTAGGATGTGCCCACTATCGTAGGACAATCTCGTTGAGCGCAATCGTTGTTTCGGTAAAAATGCCAGGGCCGAACAAACCTACTCGTACTTTGATGGCCGGCAACTTTGTAACCGGCTCTCACACCGGGCTCGCAGTTCTTCCGGCCACCACAGAGTGACGCTTGTGCCACCCACGGTCATACAGCCCTTTTACTTCATTTCAATCAGTCACAACCGTACATTCATTACTGAACTATCGCTTCCGCGGCCACACTCCCTCTCATCTGACAAGACTACTTTAAATGCTACCGAATCTCCATCTTCAATACACGTTTTCAAGTACGGCCTCTGGGCATCGCAATCTTACTCTTGGTGTGTTATCACTTCTGATATTTAAGCTGGATGGATGGATGGATGGATAATAACGGCTGTACGATTTATAACGGGCGGTAGCTTGCGCCACCTAGCCTAGGTGATGCAGGCTACCCAAAGCGGACACGCACTTTGATAAGGCATGCCCAGGCTTGCCAGAATAGTACGGGACCAAAGCGGTTTCTACCCAAAGCGGCCAGGCAAGTTCTTCAAACATGTGGTCTTGCAAACGGGTGTACGCGAGAAGAAAGACTGCGTAAAGCTCACCGGTCGAAGCGAACGTGCTGTGACAGAACAGGACCGGGATGAACATGCAGACAATGGACACCAGACCCATCATCATGTCCCAGGTGTAGTTCGAGAGCCAATAGAGCAGCGGCGACACCCCTGAGATGAGTTGCATCTTCTTGGAGTTGCTCACTCGGTCGTCGATTGGGAACAGTACGAAGGCCGCCACGTTCACCGACATCGCGAGTGGCAGAAGGACCAGAAGAATTGTCCTTCCGGACAGCAGCGCCGCCAGTTCCGTGGTGACGTTTATGCTAGACAAACGCCGGGAAGTGATGATCGTGTAGCCGTGCCTAAGAGGCTTCTGGACAGACAGAAGGGACGCTTTGGAATCTCCCGACACCAGACGGAGCAGTGCTGTAGACACTGCGGTGAGGGACACCGACTGCGTGTGGTACACGTCCCCATCGTACCAGGCCACAGCCTTGCCTTTCGACTCGTCGGTCTGGCCGGAAGAAAACTGGGCACCGATCAAGTAGCGATCATCTTGAGTCCGTTTGGTCTTCAGCTCTTCCAGAAAGCTGGACAAGTTTGAGAATTCCTTGAGATTGTGTCCTTCCGGTTTTACATAGAGCCGGAATGCCCCCGCGGCCGCTGTGGACTTTTTGTCGTGCTCCAAGAATACGTCGCCTTCCGGATGAACAAAGTGAAGGTTGTGGGGCAGAGCATCAGCCGCCAGGTTAACCTCTAGTTGACGTCTCGACGACTCCTCCGTTTTGCACAGGACCAAGAGCAACACTGTGGGGACGATCCAGCAGGTAACCGGTAGTGCCATGTACTGCAGCATGTAGCTTCGCCGCTTCTGAAGCAGTGCCAGAAAGATCTGGCGGTTGTTAGGCTTCCCGGTTCTCAAGTCGCACATTGCTTTCACGTGGGCTTCGATCTGAACCGATGACTCGTACTGTTCTTCCATTATGTGACTAATACCGGTGATTTTCTCCGTGGCGATGACCAGGTTGTCTTCGGATTGATCGATGAGTTCAGCAGCTGCGGTCTGCTTCATTTCCCGTTGCCGTTTGATTGACCTGGACATGGCTGCCGATTTTCCGGCCTCAACGGCGCCGGTATCCACCTCAAGGACGACGCGCATGAAGATGTCTTCCATGGTGATCACGCTCACCCTGAAGGAGGCGATGCCCAGTTTCTGTCCGTTGAGTTCGAATTCCCTGAGCACAGTCGCAATGGGAGCGTACCCGGTACGTTCGCCGAGACCCAAGATGATAAAGTCCTTTTAACCGGGAAGAAAAAAGTGCGCCAGGGTTAGGATGCTACAACAAGTGAGGTACTGTTGAGATTCACGAAACTCCAATGTTATTTAATCCTATTCAACTGCCAACGATAATGCCGGCGCATAACTGGCATTGAAGGCTCAAGAAGATTCCGAGCTCCTGCCGCCATTAAAGTACTGTCATTACAGCGATTACCTGATCCAAAACCAGAGCGATATTTTCAGTTTTGGAGCCTGTATCAATTATTCATCATACCACGTAACTGAGTCAACTTAAATTGTTACTTGTGCTGTACAAGTGAGATCTTGAATTAACGTCGTTTCCAGTCTCTTTCAAAGCTGAGCAAGAAGCCAATGGTCGGATACTTCCCTTGGCTTTGAAGCACTAACTGTGATAGGGTTATAACTTATAATGTCAAAATAAATCTCCGGTAGTATTCTTTTTATTAGGAACGTTGAATTACAAGGAAACATTTTTTTAAATGCCGGCACAAAACGCAAATGTCATGAAAAGTTCCCGAAAACCAATTATAGCATTATTTCCTCTGCAAGACACATTTTGATTTAGGGCCGAAACTAATATCCATATTGAGGTCGACGTATAAAAAGAAAAGTTCATTTTAAATAATTTTAGGAGGGAATTTGGTGTACCTCCAACGTATACTCTAAAGTTTTTTGCACTACGTGTAACGCAGATCAATATGCAATTCTGCATTTCGCGGCTCGATTTCGGTCTACACATGCGGATGTTAGTGCAAATTCTAAAACGTCAACATTTAAATAATTATATAAACCTAAAATAAGTATGTACTGAAGCGTAAGTTCCACATCCCATCGTAAATAAAATATTGTAGGAAGTGAAAAAATTCATAGACGTGCGAAACCTTCACGACACACGCGCAAGTACTCAAACGCGCGCACACATGCACGTGATTCGGATTATGGTGATTACTCAGCGGTCCTCGCACGTCTGCATAAAAAGAGTTATGAAACCGAGAACAGTTTCCTCGAGGCTAGCCTCTTCTTCGGGACTTTTAGGTGCATGGGTAACATATATTTGTGTTCTTCTAATTGCAGTCAAAACATTCCCGGTTCCTTCTTGTGACCATGAAATGAACGGCGAGACGCTGCACACTCAGTTACACCGCCGTGTTGAAATTCAGCAATTTAGAAAGGGATGATTATGTGACACTCTGCCGTCGGGTGATACCATGACGCCACGTGCGTGAAACTAAATTCCCGCTAAATTTAGCGGAGAAAACTTATCTCTAGATTTAGAAAAATATTTCCTCACAAAATTTAGCGGAGATCATTTTCCGGCGCAAAAATTGAATGGGTCTTGCGATTAACGCCACGTGATACCGTAGCGTCCTAATGTCATGACACTGATTCAGCGCTAAATTGGGCGAAGAAAGTTTCCCGCTAAATTTAGCGGGCACCTGCGTACCCAAACATGTTGCTAAAACACTCTTTATGTGTCTTTTGTGAGTGCACTCTTGCAGGTCTGCATCTGTGCGGGCTTATACAGTAGTCGAGCAACTGTTTACTGCATGATAGCATGCGCGGGGATCTGCTGCGAAACTTCGCCAATAAGGGCTTTTGCCGTAAGAGAGTTCTAATAAGGCCCCTCGACAGACCTCAGATACAGGTTCGGCAGTCCCGTACCGTGTGGCTTTGAAGAACGTAGGCATCGGGGACCTTCTGCTTCACGGTGGACATCAGGAGCTTCGCCTGGAACTTGGGACCCTTCTGGATGCGGACGTTGTAGCCGGACCCGTAGCGCCGGCGGATGAAAGCCAGCGTGCCGTAACACTTCTGACCTCCGTAGCCCAAGATGGCGACCCTGTCGCTAAGGGCCTCCACCTCGTCCACGTCCGTGGTACTTATGATGATGCACGTGTCCTTCTTGATGCGGATCAGCTCCTCCCAGACGGTGACGCGGGACACTGCGTCCATGCCGACGGCTGGTTCATCTAAAAGCAAGACCCTGCGGGAAGAAAAAAGTATAGCAAGCGGGTTCTAGTGAGTTGCCCATACATATACGCTCAAGCTACAAGCGGAGTGCGTTGCCTCGAACAAAGCTTACACTTTATAGACTACAGCGCTTCCACGTCATCTAGGCTGTAAGCGTGGGATCTATAACCTTGCAGCTTAAAACCTTGGTCGCACTGCCAGTACATCGCACAAAAGCCAGTCTGTAGAAGCTGCCCGAGGCGTGATCTGTTTCTTGAATGACGATTCCGTCACATTGGTCATACAAAATCTGACTTTAGGCGTATTCGAAACAGACACGTACGTAGCAAACCTACTCCAAAGGTGTTTGAGGCGTGTCCGCAGATGTTTCTGTTAATGTGTCTGCAGAGAAACTACGTGAGCCTTACATAATGTGCGAGCAGTGCGGCTGCGCGGCTTTAGCAAAGGAGCAAATTTATTACCGCAGTACAACACAGCGGACATCTATTTCTTCACTCAGACTGCTAGCATCGTCGGTCGCTGTAGCAGCAGAAATGCACCCCCCCCCCCCCAAAAAAAAAAAAAAAAAAAAAAGAAGGAGAAGGCCATTAGAAAAAAGCCAAAACCTATCAAGCCTCCTAATTCATTGCACCGCACAGATGCTCCCCTTTGTTAACAGAATGCTGGGACATCCGGCCCCAGAAGAAACCATTTCATAATGCCCGTCACTTAAGTCATCCGGCGTACAACTCTGCCTCAAGATTCTGCTTGACGACGGCTCCTTGCCCGCCTTCAAATGGCGGATCACCCATTCTACACTAAGCGAGATTCAACTTTCCAAAAGTGGGTTTCAACTGGAGCTTCGTAGTGCAAGGTACATTCTGAACTCTTTAACCAGAGTGGGGGTGGTCTTAACACAAATGGGCTGCACAATTCCGCCATGAGAGGCCAATAAAACTTTATTAAGCAAACAGAGAAGTTAACTAAGAAACAATCAAACCCAACGATCGACCCAACACGAAAAGCACTAAAAGAAAGAGTATGGACAACTTTGTTTTCCTTCCACGTTTGGTTAGAAAGAAAGAAAATGGCGCACTAGTTCACTCTCACGTTCACGTTCACTATTAATGAATTTCACTTTCGAACAGTTCGCGGGAAAATACGTTATATTAGAATAGAATATTTACAGCACAAAACTACGTTATTGCGACGTGTGAAAACTATTAAAACAAATAATGTTGCACTATTTGTTTTTCTGTGATTCGAACCGGGGCGTTATATGTACTTACTTCGGGCAGGTGACCATCGCAATGGCGAGGTCAAGCTGTCTCTTCTGCACCTTCGTCAGCCACAAAGACGTGATACCGGACACGTCCGAGAGCTTGAACAGGCCCTCCACCTCCACGATCCTGGTGCGCAGGGCGTCGTTGGAGAGTCCGCCGATGTAACCGAAGAACCGCAAATGCTCCTGGACTGTGAGGTCGGCAAAGAGCACGTCCGTCTGCTTCACCATGCAGAGCTCCGAGCGGGCCCTGGCCGTTTGCACGTGCATGTCGTATCCGTTCACGATGACTTGTCCGCCACTCGGAACCAGGTTACCAGACATGATGTTCAACAGCGTCGTCTTGCCGGATCCGTTGGGCCCAAGGATCGTCATGATCTCGCCTGTGAAGGCTTTGAAGTTGGTGTCGTGCAGCACCGACCTCTGACTGCGGTCGGCGTCGAGCCTGAAGAAAGCAAGGGTTTAAGTTACGCATGGGCGCCATACAATACACGCGAGTTAGTGAAAGTCAATTGATAAGTAAAAAAAAAAATGTGAGCGTGTGTGTGTGTGTGTGTGAGTGAGGGGGGGGGGGGGGGGGGTTATGCGTGAAAACAACGACGAGCGCACTCGCCCAGCGAAGGATTAATTATCCATTTCAACCCACCGGGGATGTTCGGACGTGTAACGGAACGATCGTTTAGTTAGACGCAGCGCTCTTTAAAATAAATTGCCGTCTTATCGCTAACAGAATTAAAACCTGGCAGCTCCGTAGACCCAACAATTTGCCTCGAAGCCATTATTTTATTTGCACTGTCTTTGTTTTTTTAGTTTGAACGGGGCCCTAGGAGATTACAAACCACCAACTTGACTTCCACTGACGGGATCAGTTTAAAAACTTTTAAAGACGCAAAGTCGACTGGTAACCACTCTAGCTCAAGAATATATATTTTTTGATTTCATTTATCCATTTATTTTTTAACAAAAAAAAATCTTTTATTTTGGCATCAGTATCAGTACGCCGTACCGCCGTGCGACAGTACCATACAGCATGCAGGGGCACCATCATACTAAAAAGCGAATCCCATGGACAGTAAACAGAAACTTTTTTTTAAAAAGCCGTTGGCGAAGATCCTAAAAGAAGACAGTATCCCAGCAGTTAATCTAAAGGCGCAAGTAGCTAATAAAATAGCCGTGTACGGTAAAATATTATACTCTGGGATGAGAATTCTTCTGCCAAGAACACGCACGCTACATGCATGAGGGGAATCTATACACGTCGCCACCATACTCGCTAGATCGACCGTCTTTGTTTTCCTCTAAGCGTGTCACACTGTATAGATCTACTTCGGTGCTACGAACCTATTCACGAACACGGCTCCCTCGGCGTCTGTCTTGTACGGCTCAAAGTGCACTCCATCCGGAATTTTGGGCGGAATGAACGTAAAGGCTCCCTGCCGTCCTGGGAACCAGTATCGTAAGGTAAACGGGTACCAGGGCGCCAGGGGTACCCCGACAACCCAGGGGAGCACGTTGCCGAAGTACCAAATTAGAAGGTAGACAAAGGCGATCCGTGCGAGCATCACCATCCAGATGTCGAGCATGGTCACGTTGTCCAGCTCCAGAACGGGGGTCGCCACGGAGCTCAAGGAGTAGTGTTCGCCTGGCAGAAGCGTGGGAAGCAAAAGAAGCGGCTATCACATTGGTTCACGAAGGTTAAACTGACTTTATCTGACGAAAGAGCTGCGTGATGTAATTATACTTTCAGGTTTTGTTAATTACTTTCGGCCGTCCCGTACTTGCTAAGTTGAAATGAGAGTTCAGTGTGGGACTATGAAGACTGTCAGAAAAATCTGCGTCTGTACATAGAAGGCTAAAGATTTCACCGACTGTGCATTTAGGTGGTGCATTTTACCTGGAGCAAGTTCAACCTCCCTTTTTGTGAAAAAATTAGACCACCGACGGTGGAGCGTTATGCTGTTCGCAGACGAGCGAGGTATAGCGATAGTTTGCAACTTGTGGCGTTTTGCAGCTCTCGGATCCAGTATAAATATTTGGTCAGTAAACACTAATTCAATCACCGTAATTTACTTTATGGATACTTCGTAACTGGAATATTCTTTCTTTTTAAGAGAAAGCAGCAGCTCACTCTTATCTCAGGTGCCGTATATGAGCCAACCTTTAAAAGTATCACTTCAGGAGACAATTAGGCAATCAAAAAGTGCAGGAAATTGTACCTATATCTCTCGAGTAAATTGTAACTTACGTCCGGAAATAAACAGAGTTTCTATTCCACTTACAATATCGAGTGTTACGTGACATTAGTATATACAGTCGAAGCTCGTTAATTCAAACTCGAGGGGAAATGAAAATTTGTTTAAATAAAGCAATGTTTGAATTACAGGGAGTTTCCTCCCATAGAGACGCATAGGGCGGGACCTGCATGTTAGTTTTAATTATCCACAAGTTTGAATTAATGAGAGTCTACTGTATTTGAACAATGATCCCATTGTTTATAAACAATGTCCGCGTGTCAAAATCTGCCAGGGAACTCTGCATAGGGAGTTATTACAATACACGGAAGGGTGAGATACTTAGCAGCGGAGATAACGTGCTGACTGGAAGATCAAACATGCGCTGCTACAATGAACGTGATATTTTACATGTTTGTAAGCAGAAAATACCGCATTTTCAGGAACAGCCTTTTTATTTGAACCTTTTAAATTCGTTAGGTTAATAAGGTAGATATTACCAACTATCCTAGTGAACAAAAACGAGCGTTCAATATGCAGAAATACAACGGACGATTCTTACCGACCAAGTTGGCGCAGCCCATGATCCTGAAGCACCAATGCAGCCCCATGCACGGAAGTACAGAGGTAATCAGCTTGGTCGGGCGACCCAGTAGGATGTAGTGCGCCGACCGACCCTTGAGCAGATCCTCGAGCGTGTACCAAGGCACGAGAAAGGCCGACAGCCAGTACAACAACGCGAACACCACAGCAGCGCTAGGATCCGAGAAGAAGAGAGAGACCAGCATCGCGTTCGTGATATACTGCCCGCAGAAGATGAGGAAGCAGATGGCCGGTACCAGGACGTTGATGTCACTCAGAAAGCTCTGCGTCTCCTGGCCCTTATGGTTCTTAATCGCTAGCATGTAGACGATGACGGAGACACAGCTGAGCACGCCGGTCACCATGGCCGCCAGAAAGTGCCCCAGCCAGTAGACACCGTTTTTTAGCCCCACCAGACGGAGCTTCTCGCGCATCCCGTTCTGCGTCTCGTCCACTAGTCTTCCCACCAGGATGCAGAAGGGTACGGCAAACCCCATGCCGATCCGCAGAGGCATCAGGCCTCTCCTGCTTGGTGCGTCCAGAGGGTACGGTCCCTCAGGGATCCTCCTGGTTGCGATGCTGTACGCGCGCTCAGAGGAGCCCTTCAGCCTTCGTACGTTGTCTAGATGGGCTCGCGCTAGTGCGAGCTGGCAGTAGGCTATCGAAGACCGCTGAGTCATGCTGTCCGGAAGGGGCTTAAAGACCCCGTAGCCCTTGTGTCGCCGCGAGAGGTAGGCGGGGTCTTCGTAGAAGCCGACGTTAAAGGTGAGGTCGTCTGGGCGGCGGTTGGAGGCGTTGAAAAACCGGACCGTGACGACGTTTTGCTGGGGTCCTCGTTTGGGAACGGTGGAAATGTTTCGGAAATGAATGAGCAGGTCTGGGACGTTCGCGAAACCTCGCAGCGTTGTGCTGGTGGAGGCGAAGGCGGTTTTGATCAGGACTTCGGCTGCGCCACCTACCGGGGTGTATAGCACCTGAGAGAGAGAGAGGCAGAGCCACTTTATGAAATCCGCAGTGTTTTACATACCGCTATACACTATTCCTATAGCGCTTCAGACTCTGGCGAATAATATCGGGCGCATGCACGTCGTATGATATCCCACAGGAAAGAGCTATACTCTGTTTATCTTTAAAGGGGTGCGGAAACATAAATTGAAATATTCAAATTTCGCTCGGAAATGAGTCAAGCATGACGGATAATAACCGTAAATCATAATCGCGCGTTTGTATTTTGAACGATTGGCTATATTTTTCGTTCCAAACGGTGCACTCGAGCAAGCACTCGAAGAGAAGCGAGCGGAGAGCGCGATGCGTCATGGGATGTCCGGCGCAAACAAAAACAGAAAGAAAAGATTTCCCGCGTTCGTGGAGTAGCAAGGCAAGCGTGGTTATGAGCTTTGCCCTTGGTGGCGGTGTCAGCGTTGTGGTGGTGTCAATAGCGTCAGCGCGTTACAACCGAGCCGCTCGAAGTATCCGTGGGGTGACGAGCGTGTGGCTGGCCCAAGGAGCACGTAGCTTCCACAACACTGTCAGCTTAGGGCTGAACGGGGTGGGGAAAGCAACTTTTGTTCGAGTTTGGAGCGACGGGCTAATCTTCTAGGGGGACAATGGCTGTTTCCGGTTGCACGAACGAGGCTCCGAGAAAGAAGGGAGTTCTTCCTTTCCGTCTTCTTGGACCGTTTGGTACAATGCGCGATTTGTGAGTTCAGGAGGAAAGCTAAGAAGGAAAACGTTGAAATGCCAAAGAGCGGCGCTGCTCCGAAGGAAACTGCTACGTCACGACTACGTAGCAGTCTCCACAACGTTGCTAGACTACCTCCCAAATAGGCTCCGCATGCATCCACCAGGTGCACATTGAAAGATCGTTTATTTACTTTAAAATTAGTTTTCTTGTGCTTTTCAACGGAAGACTGGTGTTTTTGAGGTTAGGGTGCAACATGCAACACATTAAAGCTAGAAAATGAGCGCTGAAATTTCGTTTCCCTACCCCTTTAAGGAGCAAATCAAGCAGCACCAAAATGGTGTAAGGTCGCGGCACTGGTCATCTTTTTTGCGTTTGCTATTACAGACTAAATTAAATACTCTATAGCAGGGGTGGCCAAGCTGCGGCTCGCGAGCCGCATGCGGCTCTTCGCGTATTAAAGTGCGGCTCGCGGCTCTCTCCCCTCTCCCCCTTCCCCCTTGCACTTCCCCAGAACGAGAAATGGACCGCGTTTTAACTCGAAGGACAGGTTGCGGTTTGGTTGTATTATGCTTCTCCTACCTCACGTCGAGTTGGACTGCTTTTGACACGGATAGATTGAAAGTAGTTAGAGTTTCGATTGTTGCTCTGGACTAAAGTTTGTCCCCCTCTGCGGCTCTTGGAAGTTGCGTGGTTTGGTTTGCGGCTCTTAGGCCGGGTCAGCCCGGCCACCCCTGCTCTATAGCATCCATCCACCCATCCGATCGCCCCTGCTCAAGACATTTCAGAAAGGTATATAAAACAAATTCGGGAGACGGGATATCCCCCTTCTTCACTATCGTCACCCCCTCCCCATCTCCATCTCTCTCTATCTCCTGAATATTCTCTACGACACTTCCTGCCCCCCCCCCCTTTTTTTTTTTTTGCGTGCGTTTTGATTGTAATTTTTTTTTTTTCGTCCCCAGGTTACATTATTTCTCTTTCCCCACTACCCACAACGCATCTCGGTGACTCCGGTAGCGCTGTTGACCATGTCACTTTGTCGTCACCGATAGCCTCCACAAACGACGAGTCTAGCGACGGGAAAGTTCGGCACTCGCCTAGTGTCAACCTAGACAGCATTAGGGAGTTTTCGTAAACCGCGTTTCCCCCTCCGCTAAGCCCTCCGCAACGAAGCAGCCGCTACTGCGCCGGCGCGCCGATGGCCTTGACTGTAGAGTTCCGGCAGGCGTAGCTGGTTGCGGAGAGCCGTTGCGGGACAGCGGAAACGATCTACGAAAACTCCTTAAAGGGGCCCTGCAATCATATTTAAGCCTCTACCTTTTTTGCGGTTTCCACGTCTCTTGGGGTTCGGGCAAGCCAGCGGGCACGGAGAGAGTAACTGACTATCAGTGCGTCATATTTTAACCGGACGACGCGGAAACCTCCTCCACCGACGAGGGCGACCCGCGGTACCGAAAGCGCGCAAAATGTGACGTCTTTGGTCCTGGGCTTACTACTGGTCAGAGCCGCTAAAGGCTTCTTTTTTGGTCGAAATACCAAATATAAGTGGCGCGAACCTTTTCAATTGTTTATAAAAGTTGTTTTCGTTCAGTATTTTAGTTAAAAAAAGAAACGAATGCAGTTCATAAAGTACGGAAACAAGAAATGACCCGGTGACATACCCCCACCAAGCGGTGGAAAAGGCGGCGCATACTAGAAAGGAGTAGTGGGATCAGGCGCCGACACGGAAAAGTCCCGGATGTACGCGGCGGCGCTGCGGTCGTATTTGCAGCAAGATCCGACGGGCTCCGAGCTTTCCGAAGGCTTTCGCCGAGAAGCTCTGTCTTGCGGTCAGGCCATTTCGCGGTATAGCAGCGCAAAGTAGCTCCCATTCTGAACTGCTGATCTTTACCCCGTGTTTGCTGACGTTTGTGGCCGGTGAAGTGTCATGCCGAATTAGTATTTAATCGCGCAGCAAATGCAATGAGAGCCTCTCCGGCTGCCCGCTGCATACAGCCGATCCAGAACACTAGAGTTCCTGTATAGGCTCCCTGTAGCTATACAGGAACTCTACAGAACACGCTTTAATGGCGCCCTCTCGCGCCGTCGACAAGGAGTGCGGCAGCCGTGAGCGCTCGATAAGCTCACTACCCCTCCTTCAGTTCACGGCCACTCTCAAGCAACCAAGGACGTCATGAGGGAGGTTATTTCTTGCTTGTTTTTTGTAATTTTAATTTGCCTATAACTTTTAAAATAATGGGAATTTTGAGGAAAGAAAAGTTTCACAAAGTTACTACGTTCAGTGCGCTCAGGTTCGGTGCAAATTAAAAATTAGTAAAAAAGTAATTGCTAGGGCCCCTTGACACTAACGCGGCGTAGGGATGCAGGGACACGGGGGCCTGACGTCATCAGTGCAGCCGTTCATTCGGCTGGCCCCAAGGTGTCGCTCGAGCGCGCTCCGATGAAGCTCGCTACGACTTTGTGTTTCACAATCTCGCTGGAAGAGACATTTTCAGAAATATGTGGTGCTCTCAGCGTCTGCTTTACGCATTGTGATGTTTAGATGTACGGCACGTGAAATTACCCAAGAATCGAAGAGGAAGTTGACAAGGTGTAAAGTTGGGCGAGTTGGTTGATGGTCATATTGAATGGGTTAAAACAGCGCAAAAAAAGGCGAAGGACCAGTAAAAGGAAACAAAGGAAAATGAAAGAAAGCACTGTGTCTGGGTGTTTCCTTTTACTGGGCCTTCGTCTTTTTTGCGCTGTTTTAACCCATTCAATAGGAAGTTGACGTTAATTTAACAATAATTACTGATTTCAGAACGCAAAGAATGCGCGAACAAAGCAAAACAGAGTATGTGATGACCTTCTTCTCCGTTCGCTTAAGTTTTGCCTGTGTTCTGAGTTCCTAACGATAAGAAAGAATAAATCACGTGACGCTACCAAGTTATACGAAGCGTTCGCACCAACACAAGCCCCCCCCCCCCCCCCCCCCCCCCCCTAGCGTACATCCGAACAGCCCCACAATTCCCCTCGTTGCAAGGTCTCCTGGGATTTTCCAGTAAGGTCTAATTAAGCACCGAAAGATTTCGGATGATCGACATCTCGTCCAGCGCGCCGCCATCGTGGCGAGAGTCCAATCAGCACGCTCCGCGAACTTTGGCCCCAAATTTGTGCTTGACGAGTCGAGCGACTCCGGAAAAAAGAAAAGCGTTTCCTGCGATTTTGGATCAAGTTTACAAGAACTGGAGACGATGATTTTGAAACTTGGCTGAAGCATTGCCACTGAGAGGTGTAGCTTGTTTACTGGCTCTAGCAGAACTTATTGGCGACCAGAGTATGACGAGTGCGCGTTCAGACGTCTCACCATCTGCGGTCCCCGGAAGTCTGCGAGGCTGCGTTCCGGGTAGACCTGGGGTTTGGCGAGGCGCAGGCAGGACACATTGCCGGCACAACCCGGAGGGGCGTCCAGGATGGGACGGTCCTTCTCCACGAAGAGGAAGCACACGACGACAAGAAGGATCTCGGCAGCGGTGATGAAGTAGTGCCGCTTGATCTTCTGCACGTACACGTCTTTCCAGATGATGGCCAAGACTTGCGAGACCACACCCATGGTTCCCTGGGCCACAGCACCGTCTCTAGATTACGGTCCAAGAAAAGAGGACGACCAATCCCACGTCCCGCAGCCCACGAAAAAAAAAAAAATAGACTATGTCTTGAACATGAGGTGCCTATATTTGGTGTGATTTCTCGGCTTCAATTTGTGATGACTCCAGTTGGCATGGGAGTAGAGTAAGATAGAACCCAATTAAAGTTGCCGTTCATCATTCAACGAGAATCTCACCGAATGCCCAAGAAATCAGTTCCATATATACATAATGCTGGTCCCTGGACGCTACATTTGAGTGCGCTGTTCACTGTGCGTGCTCAGGATGAGTTCACATATCTAGAAAGTACCACCCCTTGGAGGGGGGGGGGGGGGGGGGGGGGGGGGGGGGGCTAAGAGGACGGAAATTTAGGCCACATGGAGTATGCAGGAAGCGATAAACTCCCTCCCGGTTTTAACCGGCCTCTAAATCTAGCCGGGAGAAAGTTGAGCTTCGATCTCAATGAACTAATCTTAGGCGGAGCTGGCTCTCTAGAATCGACAACTTAGCTGAAACCAACGTTACTACAACCACTCAGTTGGGAAACGGTTCACCGAGCTAATGGCGATCGCAACGCCGCAATTTTTCTTGCAACGGCCACTCGGGGAACTGCGCGGCTGCTTGCATTGGTTCGGGACTACCCTATTCGATAGCGTCCACTTTAACCGGCCATTTTGGCGCCGAAACACGGAAACACGGTGGAAGGGGTTTCAGGGATGCCAACCCCCGTCTCCCAAGCGGACATGCCGCAAATTCCTTTCGAAATTATGACTCGTCCAGGTCGGGACGCGCTACCTGAAATCCCCGGTGGTACATGGTTGTATAAAAACAACATTGATTGTGCAACAAAACCTTGTAAACTACAGATTTTAGAAAACATCACGCGCCCTGTTATTTTTTTACTAATCTCCAATAAAAGCTCTTACAAAAAAAAAAAAAGTTTTTTTTTTTCCGTTTGTTTTACGCAAAAAAAATAAAAAATGCTTTCTCAAAGCTCAAGGTAACCACATGAATAAAGATTAAGGGTGGCGCTGTTATCGTATTTAGCCCGGTCTCGGTGGACGCCGGCAGCCCAGGTTTCAACGGTGAGTTTCCCAGCTGAGTGGTCTGTAGTCTGTTGCAACCTAAGAACGAAGGGCGAGGGTAAGACGGACTGGGGAGGAGGAAGCAGACGGAACGCTGGAGAAGAGAGATGGAAACCTTGTTCTCTCTTTAGCGTTCCATCTGCTTCCTCCTCCCCGGCTAGTCTTACCCTCGCCCTTCGTTAAAGCGCTCCTTCCCGACAATGACACCTCGGAACCTACATACAAATCAACAACAACAACGCCATCTCGCTTTTTTTTTTTTTTTTTTTTTTTTTTTTTTTTTTTTTAGGCGGGCACTTTTACAGCTTTTTAAAAAAAAAACATACTCGATCGCCGCACTCCCCGTCCTAGTACACCCTGCCGACAAAAAAACTAGCGGCAAATAAACCAACAACTGAGCGTGTTTTTACGCTCTGTCCCGATACATGACACACACTAGCGACTCTTTCCGACCGAGTGCCTTACATCTTAAAATCCCTTTCCACGAGAAAAAAACACTGGTTTCATCTTTGTTTACGCGCATTTCCTTTTTTTTTTTTTCTTTTGTTTGAAACACACTTTTGACAGTGTGATAAAGGACGATTGCTCATAGACAGATACGCACATTCGATCTCGCCAATACACCTTCGCTTTAGTGAAATGCGGGTTCAGGGACGCCTCATAAACGGAACCAGCAGGCCAGTGTGTTTTCTCGTCGTGAGACATCCCACGAACTCGGTCCTAAGCAAAGGCAAGTGTGTGAACGGGCCTTCGGAGTGGTGCAAACGACGGGCACTCACCGCTTCGACGACCCTATGGTTCGAACCTCTGCTTCTTCTCTGCCTTGCCCTCGCGGGGGCCCTAGAAGATGCGTTTTCTTCCACGTCTTCTTTTTTTCCATTTTATTTCAGATTATTCTGACATAACTGCCGACTTCGACATGTACGGGTTCTGCTTCACCAGAAAAGACTGGCCTGATTTCAAGGTTGGTTAACTTCACTGTCTAAATTCTAGAACATCTTATTTAGCCGCAGTATATGTCTTGTATATGACGTGAAGGGAGGGGGGGGGGGCGGCTTCCCCCCCAAATCTTCCATTTTTCTGGGGCCTCCTCTCCCCCTTCCCCTCAAACAGCATTTCGTCATCCCCCCCTGCCCCCCCGTAACAAAATCCCGGCTACGTGCCTCGTGCTGGTGCTGGCAAAAGATTTGCCCAGCGGACGGCTGCTATGGTCTGCGGTAGAGCCACTAAATAAGCTCCGCTTAGAGTATCGGCACTCCGTTCCCCGACATTGTTGTGGGCGCCGCCATTTTGGCTCGTATGCAGAACAGACGCAACGGCCGATCGTCATGATTCAAAAGTGCGACTTCCTCAGCATTAGATTCGGTATTAGGAAGGTCATGAAATATTGCTTTGCTCTGTCGCGAACGGTTTAAACATTTGTGGAGGGCGGAAAAGCATTTCCTGTGATTTCAGATAAAGCTTCAGATAACTGGCAACCATGATTTTAAGCCACAATATGGCCAAGTGTCGTTACTCTGAAGCGTAGCTTATTTAGTGACACTAGTCTGCGGCGTTTGGCCTCCGAGATTTTCTGCGCGCTCTGCTATGGCATGTCGAAACGCTCGGCTGCCCACCAGAAAAAACGAGCCGAACCAGTTTTCTATATCTCCGTATGCGGCGCTATAACCAAACCAGACTAAAGTAACAATTACTCTAAACCAGAGTAAAGCCCCTCGGTGTGTTTGCGTTTGTCTTGCGCGAATGTTATCAATATTTTGCAAGCGTGAATTTTATCGAGGAACTTTAAACCAGAAACGGAAACAGAATCGCCTCAAAGCGCGCTGTCGAGTGTGGGCCAGCGGCATGAAGGTCGCATTTTTCTTGCTCTCATCATCAGAATCGCATTTTTTCGCTGCTCCGGGCTGCGTTGTTGTGCTGGATGATATCTCAGAATTCAGTGCGAATCTCTATTTGCCCGCTGAGAGTACTGTCTGGGCCGGCGGGACAGGCATAGGACTATTTTAAAGCGCAGCGCGATCCAAACCAACGCGTTTTTGTGCGCGCGTTGGCCGTGCGCTTTCCGGAAATAGCGTATTTCGTGACGTCGTGCTGATTTATGCGCGCCCTTCGGGGCGCGCATAAAAAAGTTGGTTGATTTCTATTTTTTTTGGCCGAGTCTACATCCACGCGCGGGGACGTAGCCAAGTCGGGAGGAGATAAGGCTCCATCCACGCAAAAGGTCACGTGACTTATAACATAAAGAGATAATTTGTTTTTATGTACATATTATGCTGTCTTACAAGTAAATATAGGATCTAAAAATAAAGAGGTTACATTTTATTGTTGTTTTAAAGTTAATATATCACGTGACTTTACAAATTCTTAGACAATTTATCAATGTTTCACTGTTTTCTAACACCGATAGGAAATATCATGCGTCATAAAAATAGTATCCGTAGATGTCTTTATATTTATGTTGTCCAGGAGTCACACACACGTGTGGGCAGCGTGAGTGTCATCCGTGCGTGTGGGCGTGCAGCCTGCAGCCATGTGGTGTGGGCTTGGTTGGCTTGGCGCGGCTGCGGCCTCTGGGGCCATCGCCCTTGTGCACATCGCTGCTGAGGCGAGGCGGCGAGGCTTCGCCGTGTATGTGATTGGCTTAATTCGTTTAAGGCGTTGTAGTGTGAGCTTATGTGCATCGAAGGGGACAAGTGCGAGCACACGTACGCTTCGTATGTTCTTGACTTGCGCGCACGCTCGCTATCTCACAAAGATTGTGCGAGAAGGGAAAGCATGCATTAGACTCAGTAATAACAAACCTATTGAGAGCATTCAATCGAGAAAACTGGGTAAAAGATTCCAGAAACAGTTTATTTCATGACAAATAAAACAGTAGCCGATGCACAGATGCCACTCATCCACGAGATCACCGATGAACACGAAGCCCTTCTTGCGGCAGAACTCCTGCAGGAGCCAGTTCACTTCTTTGTGCCGATCATTCTACGCCTGGATCACTGCACTCTGCCTACGCTGACACTCCAACGAAAAGAACCTGTTCTCCCAACTCGGAAGAAAAAGCGATCTGCGTCGTCGTATTGCGTTCCAAGATCTGAGCGGCCAGCCGACGGTACTTGTCAACGTACGCGCAGGCACACACGCTGGTGTTGTTTGTGCCAAAATCGAGCAGGGCGTCAGACACTTCGAGAAGCAAAGCCTTGATCCTAATCTTACTAAACACCCGCACTTCGACAGCCACCCGGTTATTCGATGTGAAATACTGGGACAAGTATTTCACCATCGAACCCCCGGCAACCAAAACTGGAGGCATATCAGAAGCGCGACCGTGTGAATACACAAAGTTTTCTTGACCAAGAAAACAATAAAAAAAAGATATAAAAAAAAAACTTCAGATAAACCCGCCTGGGGATTGGGGAAGACCAGGCAGGAACAGCAGTCCGCGCACGGCAGGAACGCAAGGAGCGATGGCCACCGAGCACAAGGCAAAACAATGGGAGACAAGACCGTAGCACCGTAGATTGATTGCTGCGTCGACCGAGAGAAGACGGAAAAAGAACTGCTTCCGTCCACGCAAAAAAGTGACGCGGGCGCCGGAAGTGACGTAGTGCGTGGATGGAGCCTTATCTCCTCCCGACATGGCTACATCCCCGCGCGTGGATGTAGACACTCCCATTTTTTTTACGAACGCTCACGAAAACGCGCTGTGACGAAACAGCAAGAACGTCACGAAATACGCAATTTCCGGGAAGCGCACGGCCTAAGCGCACACCAAACACGTTGGTTTGGATCGCGCTTCAGGCGCCCGTTTCCGGGTTGAAGTGGCGTCGGCGTCGGCGTTACCGCGCGTTGCATTATGAGAGGTTTCCCATAATGACGTCACA